GGGACATTTTCATCCAAGCTTGCTGATTGTGAGCTTGTGTTTCGGCATGAGCATGTGTGCGTTTTTAAGCCCGTTTCTTTGATTATTTACATGGCAAGAGGATATATTATATATATATATTCTGCATGAAAACATACATGTAGGAGCATATGTGCATGCTGAGTGTCTGCACAGAAATAATTTACTTTGCTATAATGAATATACTTGGAGCAGCATCCATATCAAATTAGCTCATTGTCTTAACCCACTCCACTACTCTACACTGTATATTAAGTGGACTGCTTAATTTGAACTTCACTTTATCCTTGTTAAACTTCATCTAATGTAACTAAGATCTCTTATTATGTTATCTTTATTGACTGAATCTGGCAAGCAGTAAAGTGATGAACCCAGAAGTAAAATTGTATATGTGTGGACATGATTAAATTTGGTCTCCTTAGCAACTGATGCTTCAAAAAAGCTGGCAAGCGAACAACTAAATTCATGACAAAACAAGAAGAGAGGAAAAACAACACAACGTGCAACAGAGGCAGGGATTTAAAAAAACACAGCAGAATGCAATAACAGAGGAAAGAGATGTGGGTAGATCTGAAAGGAATTAAAGTGTATGTTTGTAAGCAAGAGCAGAGTTTATATAAGAGAGCTGTAGAAAGATCACCAGGGGAAGGAATCACAGGGAAGAGGCAGGAAGAGACATTTTCCTTTTTCCTTCCGGAATATTTCCAAACCAGGTTCTTCATTTTGTGCAAGATTAGCCTGATTAAAAATGAAGAGGATTACGAAAGATACATCCAAAGTGTCTGCTGTAGCTTGCTACAGGGCTCTAAAATGTTTGATTAATGAAACATGAATCACAGGCTGGTCCCACTGCTGCCGCTAGCATAGCTAATACTGGGAGTTTGGCCTGACACCATTACTCAGCAGGAGTCTGGCCCAGATCGCAGAATCATCAGGCCTCATGGGGCCTGGTTGTTTTGCCGCTGCTCACTGTGAGCAATGTAAACGGATCAGCTTATCGGCCCACCTGCGCCAGCAAATAAGAGGCTATAATGACACAGCACAGTGTGAAAGTGGGAGGGAGCTGAAAGATACCAAAATACAATACAAAACAAACATTACAAAACAAAAGGAAAGAAAAAAAATCCTTATGGTATGCCTGTTTCAGTAAGTAAAAGATCATGTCATGTTTTGAATGTCTACACTGGCCGTTTGCCTGATAAAGCCTAAAGCAGGATAAACAGAATTATGCAATTTGGGTTCACCTTCAAAGAGGTCACTTCACTGAGGCTTTGGCATCTCCGCTCATATTGCTGCAACATTGTGCGACAAATCCAGACGAGGGCTTTAAGCCACGCGCTAAATCCTGTGTACTCAGTCTCTGCTCTCTGATGGGGCATGCAGGGCAAGGCTGACTGACTCGGATCACATTTATCCAAGGTGAACGACATCAGCACGGGCCATAATGACTAATATATTGTCCACTGTGACTAAACGAACATTGACAGCATCTGGCATGTCAAAAGGCGAAAACATTAGATATGTTTTTTTACTTGACTTAACGAGTTCTGGACCAGTGAAGTCACAGGACTTTAATTTCCCCCACGCGTTTCTCTCAACACTGCAATTTAAGATACGGCTCAGGGTGAAGGGTGAAGTTCAGCCCAGGCACAGCAGATTGTTTTTGTTGGACCGAGCTCCGTTACACACTCATCAGCTATGGAAATGATGTCTGCTCCTTGCAGGTTTTCTACAGGAGGGAAACATTTTAGGTGCCAAGAGCAACATGACCCGAATGGGTTCCACTTGGGGGAGAAAATTGCATTATTTGTGTATACAAGAGGAGAGCCGTGCATAATTGCAAGCGGGGCCCTAATCAGAATGGGAGCAACGAGAAATTCACCATGTTTCATTGGTACACTGAAATGGAAAAGTGTAGTCAAAATTCTGGTGGATTCATTTTGGGTAGGGGGAGAGATGGGGAGAAGTAAAGTTTGTCCTGATGGAACAGGAGAAGCAGAAGGCTGGAAGACGAGCTGACAGACATCACCAGTCAATCCACAGCCAACACAGAGGGTCATTTGCATAAGGAGTTCTCGCCACAGTCACATCCAACAATGGACAATGAGGATTCATCTTCTCTTTGATGGGCATCTGAGTCTGAAGCCAGTGACCACGATGTCACTACTGTATGATATTAGTGGGTTTCACTGCATGTCTACTGATAGTTGGTGTTGAGAGTGGTATTCAGACTCTTTACTTAAAGCTACTATGTGTAGACTCATTATGTGATTATAGCATCATTTAATGGTAAGATGTAAGATTCGGTCAGAATTTTAGCTGTTCTCCGTCGCACTCCCGGACCTCTCGTTCCTCCGCTACCTCTACTTTTTGGTTCACTGTCACCACTTGTACTTCCCTGTCTCGGACTGGGTAGTTAAGTATAAGTATAAAGTGGCATAAAGTAGAAATTTATGCTTCACTGCTGATAGGCAATGATTATAGTGAATGACAGTGTCATGGTTTTGGGGTTTTGTTGTGTATTTCCTGTTTTATTTTAAGATAAGATAAGATAAGATGTTCCTTTATTGATCCCCCATAGTGGAAACTCCTCGTGTCTTTGTTATATCCACTTCCTGTCTTTGTGTTGTTCGGGTCTGTGCATTAGGTTGTGTTTTTCCTTGTGTCATTCATTCATCCATTCTGTGTTTCCTGTTTTACTTTGTTACTCACCTCTTGTTCCTTATCACTACACTTCCTGCCCTTGCGTTTCCCGCCTATGTGATTGTCGGCTCTGCCCTAACTTGTTGCACCTGTCCCTTGTTATCCTTATACCTCTTGTGTATTTAGTTTGCCTGTGCACCTCACTCAGTGCCAGTTCCTCTCTTAAACTTACAGTCCAGCCTTTTGTTATTTTCCCTTTGTTTTTGGACTTTCTGTGTTTTCCCTTGGACCTTGCCTGTTTAATGGACTTTGGATTCATGCCTGTATCCTTTTTGATTTTTTTCATGTGCTGGGCTGCTACCTGGCTATTACCTGCATCACCTTCCCATAAGCTTGTGTACCTTGTTTTATCAATAAATAACTGAACTGCACCTGCTCTGCCTCTGGTGTCTGGTATTGGGTCCAATCTCTTGTTATCCTGCTACCCTGCTTGCACTGTTTGTGATACAAAGTAACGTACTGACCCCTATTGATAAACACCTCAATAAAAATTCTATTATATTAAACTATGCAAAGAAACGTCACTACTGACAAAGACTATGAAACTAAACTAAAAGCCCTCTCTCTACCATGTATTACAATTATTCAAGGCAGCGTATTCACCATAGGGCTCACTGAGAATGTCAAACAGCAAGCTTGTACATAATGAAAAGATAAATATTGACTATTTGTGGCGAAATGTAGTCAGGGGAATTGTATCCCTTACTGCACATGCGTCAAACTCAAGGCCCGCCACGTCATTTGATGTGGCCCGCGAAAGCTTATAAGATTCATGATTGTCCCAAAATGTCCAAAATTTATGCAGAAGGAAGGCAATTTCATGAACGATGGGAAAGTGAACACATTTGTGCTTCAAGAAGAGAAACCGGTAGACTAGGCCTATGTCTTTTGTGTTATGAGCATGAGGCAGTGTCTGTGATGAAGGAGTAGGCTACAATATACGTCAGCATTTTTCCAGGTAATAAAACTATCTGTCTCAATAGTTGGATGTATGCCCTCTGCAAGGCTGTGTGCAGCCGTTTGTTTTATCAAATGCCACATCTGTTGTTTTACCATAGTTCTGCCCCTCTCGTCTGAGAAAAAGTGAGAAGTTAATGTAATAGTTTGATGATATTTGTCTTTGTTTTGTACTTGAAAAGTACATAACAAAGACTGATTGAGTATCATGGGTTTCCAAACCTGATAAATTCATTAATTTATGTTATAATAACAAAGAAATGTGCTTGCTTATATTTTTGCATCTGATGGGTTAAATGTCCTTAACTTCAGAAGGCTAAATAATCAAATAAAGAGCATGTTATTTTACAATATGTTAAGGAGTTGTTTATGCAGTAAAGTACATTTATACAGTCTTACAGTTACAACTGGCCCTTTGAGCGTAACCATAACGCTTATGTGGCCCTTAGTGATTATGAGTTTGACACCCCTGCCTTACTGGAAATGGAGCAGAATGGCTGGCATTCTTGTTGCCAAATAAACCACACAACAAGAGGTGTTCTGGCCCCTGCTGACACAGGGATACATATTTCTGTCAGCACTACATCAATATTTATGTTAGAAGTAGATTCTGAACAGGCAGCTGGTAAAGTAATCAACAGCAATGTGCTCCTGCATCTGTGCGCTGTTGCCACAGCATTACGTCAAACGTGTTTACTATAACACACACACACACACACACACACTCAATACACCCACACATACACACACACAGGCGCCGCAGACCACCAAGAAAACAAAGACAGGAAGGCGATGGAAGCTTGTGGCAACGTCTTCTATCAAAAAAATGTGCGAAACTAGTGTTGCCAGTCTATTTTATCACCGCAATTATGATTCAGCATCTGTTCCTCTTAGCGTGCGCTCAGTTAGTGATCCACCGGAGCTGAGGGAGCGGCTGGACGGCCAACCTCTAGAGACGAGCCGCCGATTGCTCTGAGGTGTTGGCATGCTGCCAAGCCAATTCTGTCCTGTCCTTTCAGATCCTTATCAAGGGCGGCAGTAACAAAAGGTAAATCGTAGCTCCTACGGGTGAGTGAGAGATAGGGAGAGCGGTGTCTGTGTGTGTAAATGAACATGTGTGTTCGACATAGTTTGCACATGTTTGTGTTTCTCTGTGTAACATGATGAGAATGTTTATGTATTCTGATGTTATCTGTTCAAAACATCCTTGGAAATGTGTGTCAGTGCAACAGGCCAGTCAACAGCTATCAGCTCCCAGCTCACATTCCCCCATCCGTCCCCCCTCCCTCCTTGCCGCCCACTCTCCTCTCCTCTGCATGTACCTGGTCAGCAGGCAGCAGTCATGAAGCAGGGTTTCCTCCACGTAGATGCCCCGGTCCTCCTGCGTGCTCACGATGTGGCCGTTGTGACGCCACCGCAACTCCACTGACGTGTCCAGGTACGAGGCAGTGCACTGCAAGGGTAGACGGTCTCCATGAAAAACCAGTTGTCTCTGGGAGGGGATGAGCTGGAAGAGGGGCATCTCCAGAGGTCCATCTGGAAGATGAGGAGAGGACAAAACAGGAAGGTCAGCTTGTTAACCTTGCCTTCCCACTTCCAGAGGCGGGAAGGTAGAGGAAGAGAGCGAGAGGTTTCTCCTCCCGAGAAATGCAGGTTTTAGGGGATATGTCTTCAGCGGGATTTTGCCTATCTTGCCATGCTATGCTGTTCACATCTACATTGTGGAATTAAACAGACTCATATGCGCTCACTGCCACAAACACATACATTCTTCCGCCGTGCACCTACACACCCAAACACACGCACACATTCTATCAAGGTCCCACTCCTCCCTCGTCGTTCCCACATGTTGCTGTTGCTGTGCGAGATGAACAGCAGCTGATAAAGGAGCAGCCTTGAGCGCTCCCCTGGACTCTCCTTGACTCCTTACATGTTCACAATGGATGCCTGCCACAACACCAGTGATAGGATTAGCTACCTAGCAGCTGGCTTCGTCCTCAGACCTGTTTGCCAGAGAATAAGGCTACGATAAGAATGAGATTAGTCAGGGTAAAGTGTTTATTCCATTGCCAGAATATACAGGGTGTTTGATTTTTACTGAAAATCCGTCAGGACCTGATTGATCTGATCATACAGCAGACATTGGTATAAGACAATGCAATGTCTGATCATGATGAGCCCTTGCTGCCTGGTTTGGCAGCACAGACCGGGGTATGTGTTATGTTTTTGTTTTGTTTGTTTTTGGTCCAGGATTAGAACAGAGCCTTGCCAACTCACTGTACCACCTTGGGAATTCCTTCGGACCGTGTTCGTTCATACAGGACATTTCCTTGGACATGCTCCAAAGAGCAGCGTAAGCAAGCGCTTTGCCTTCGCTTGTATTCCAATCAATTGTGGATGTTGCTGCTGACAGGCAATTCGATACATGGGTCATAAAGTCTTTTATAGCGCCATGCATTTGTTTGGTAAAAAAAAACAAAACACTGAAAGATCAATGTCAGGTGATGTGGCTGAATGTCTAAGGCCCGCAACTTAACATTTCCCTTGAGCAGGAAATTGTCGTTAGTGCGACTGTTTATGGTAATACAATACCCACTAGCGCTTTGGCCTCAATTTTTTACACGAGTTATCCATAATCATAAGTACATAATCAAAAGTGCCATGCTTTCGAGAGTAACATTAAAAATGTGTCACTAATATTGGATTTTCAATGATGACATCTCTGTGTAATTACTTGAGCTGACCCTGTTAGAGTCCATGATAGTTGTCAGCAACAGTGGCTGAGGCTTTGTTATCTCCTGCGGGGGACTCACAGCAGAAACAGCATGGGGGCCATTGACTGTTGACTTGGCTGATGCTGATACTGTTGAAACAACTCTTTGAGCCAAGGATCAGAGCGTGGCTGCTTGCCTTCGCCCGTTGGACACTGCCAGAGTAAAATGCAATTATTGGTTGGTGTGTGTGTGTGTGTGTGTGTTTGGGAGAAGGAGAGCAACAGAGACATAGACAGGGACAGATGCATGACGATATGTATGCCTGCATATGTCTGCCATTACCATGCTGGATTCAGACTCTCTTCACAAGAATTAATTTACAGGAAAAAAAAAATTTTCTCATTGATAACAGCTTCACTGTTTACCGTCTTCACGCCATATCAGAGCTGTATAAAATACAGCTGATGCACATGGAACATCCCACTGCTGCTGCTTCACATTAAACGGCTTTCTCCATCTCACAATTCATGCGTTTCCTGCTTTAACGTTTGCACACTTTTTAACATGTTAATGTTTTAACAACGTTTTAACATTGTGTGTACGCAGTGCAAGGGCGTCACTTTGTGTTGAAAAGTGGTGGGGACATAAAGGCTCAGATTTGGGGCGTGATGATACATTTGGGTCATGAGATGTGACGATGCACGAGAACAAGACAAGATTTTTGGCACTATTTAGATTGAATATTCTATGTGGAAATGCATGTGAGGGGGGTCTGGGAGTCCTACCTAAGAAGATTTTGAGCATTAAACTGGTAATTTCCTGCATTGTGGAGACATTTTCTGCTCCAACTTACGCTGAAAACTATATTGCATTGCATGTTTTCTTATTGTTCAAATAAACCTTTCTCAAAGCATTTTCATTTCTTGGTGCTATGTTTTCAGAACGCTTTTAACAAATGCTTTCAAAAAGTGATGGGGACAATATCAGCCATTTCAAAATGTGGTGGGGACATGTCCCAGGCGTCCCCAGTGTAAATGACACCTATGACACACTGTGCCACCTGAAACTTTCATGTCCAGCCCACAGAGAGACAACAGGAGCTTTGATTGGCCAGCTGTTTCTTTGATTCACCGGCTGTGTCAGCAGCAGTCCTATGTGGGATCAGGCCAATCCAAGCTCCTGCTGCTACATCATAGAAATGCAAATTAAAATTAATCAATTCAATTTGTAAAATCATTTTAAGTCAATCAATTTATTAATCAAAAGTAATTCTAAAAGTCTATAATTATTCACATGCTGCCACATGCCATCCATATTTCTCAGCACCTGTTAGCATTTCAACAGTCTTGTTACATTTTTGTAAAAAAAAATCTTGTATGGACAGAAAGTTATAAGTGATGGATGAGGACAGAGGGTTTATTTCATTTCCTTGTTTACTAATACAGTATTAACTTTTCAGTTTTGATTTCATACCAAAACTGGTGTGAAAATAAATGGAGCAGAAATTCTCATTCTCAGACTGATGCTCCTCATTATCCCTTTCTCAAAGCAACTGATTCTAAAAGAGGTGTGTGACTGAACTTCAAAGACTCATATGGCAGACTATGTGGAGTTATATTTCATGATATTTTTATATGATTAAATTATTAGAGACACACCACAGGCTAAAAGACATTGGGCTGCATGTGAAATTTAATTTAATGACATGATGCCCATAAAGGGCAATTGCACTGCTGTGTCATCATGCAAAAAAATACTGCTATAGAAAGCAGGCTTATCCTGCAGTGCATAATATGCCATGTTAGTTCCAGACTTTCTGTCCAGAAGGCCGGGGCTAGACGAGTTAAACAGATGCCTGCCCTGACCTCAACACAGGAAGCACCTGATCCTGGCAGGAAGCTGCATGCGCTCCTCCGTTCCCCCTCATTTGCAGGCACTACCCGACCTGTATCAGCATAGAGACAAGGGCTCATTGCTGGAATGTAAGGTGCAGACATCTGCTAGTCATCACGCTGGAGCCGCTGGAGAAAGAAACAGATGCATCTTCTATGACACGTCTTCATAAAAACAATGGGGGAATATCTCAGTGGAAAAATATTAATATTTTGATGGTATGTGAGTGTGGAAGAAGAACACTTTCATGATGATAACAAGAACCTAGCATCAGGTGCATAGCATTATCCTATTCACATGGCATTAACAAGGTTGGTGTACAACAGCTGTATAACATTCCCTTACAAAGTCAAGCCATATGAAAATAACAACCATCAAATAACATTAAAAAAATATGGTTGTCAGAGCACTACACTGTATCCAATTTAAAACTGCTTGTTGCCAAGTGAATGAATAAGGTATTGTAAGATGGAGTTGTGCTGTAGAGAGGAGGATGGATCCAAGCTTGGCGAGAGCAGGGAGCCCAGAACGTTATCATTGTAATCCCATAATGGATGCTTTAGGGCTGGAAAGGAGCGCTCCGTGTCCTGCCACTGGATACCACTCACGGCTCTTTGTCTGTGGTCTGCGCAGAATTACCCTGTAATTGCTTTGGATTGTTCTGTGTAAATGAAAAACACGTATAATTAGGATTACATAGAATAACTCAAAATTGTCTGTGGTGCAGACGTCTCAGGACGGCGCTGTCTGTGTATGAAAAAACACAAACTGTAGGGGGGGAGACTGGGATTTCTCCTCATTAGTCTTCTGCAAACTGCTTCACATGATGCATACAGAGCATATAATGTCCCTTCACTTCACACATACACACATGCACAAACACACAGACATACCCCACTACTAACCAATGATATTTTCATTCCACAGCAATATCCCGTGCGTGAACCAGATGTAAGGAGAAGAGGAGGATGATTCTATCACATATGAGATACAATTCCCCTGTGGACCGCAGCACGGAGCTGGGAGATAGGGAGACAGGGAGGTAGGCAGGGGGAGATTGCCTGTCTGTAACCAGTCTTTGAGAGAAAAAAAAAAGTAAAGTCTCTTAGATTTCTCTTTACTGTAGCTAGCAGCTTCCAGTTAGTAATGTGGCCATTTTGTTCTGCTTAAAAACTCTGTTTGATGTACCGGCTGCTGATAGACACCATACTGCAACAATGTCTGTCTTAATGTGTCAGTCATTTAGTCTTAAAAGTCAGTTTTGCCAATAGTGCAAAACACACCCATTTAGCAAAACTAATTATTAGTTATACTAATTAATTATACTAATTACAGGGAAGGTTTGGCGGAGCACACCTGACCTCTCGTATTTTATTTCTAAATCTTTTTTATTTTATGTCTAAATATTTTATTTATATTTAGACTTTTTATTCCATGGCAACTGGCCCATTTCAACTAGTCTTCACCAATGGCCACTGAGCAACTTCAGTATAACGACTACCAGTAAGCAGTTGGGCAACAAAGAAAGTGAGAGGCAGGGGAGAGCATAGCTTATTTATTTTCCCAGCACTGACTTCTTCAGCTGATCTGAGATTTGAACTACCAACTTCTGTAGCACAAGCTCATTCCTCTGGCTTTTAAGTCTACTGCTGCCCCCCAACACAGGTGGAACATAGTAGGCCAAAGACCGCACAAAGACTGTATTACAAGACACTTTTTGCCTGGGGCTTTCTCTCTGGCAATTGTGCACTAAATAATAGCCTGATATTAGGCTTGTCAAACAGTTCACAGCAGGTAGAGAGATAACACTGGAGAGGAAAAACTATTATCAGAATAGATCTAATTAATCATGTTCTTATTGTGCTAACTACTTGGAAATACAACATTTGTCTTGCTAATGAGAAGTCTCAGGAGGCAAAGTGTAAATATATCCCCTATCTTACAAATATCTTTTTGTCAGAGCTCAGCAAAATGTCCATCTTAAGAAACCATTCAATCTGGCCTTAAAGCCTGAAACATCTGCTTTCAGTTCAAAAATGCCCATTCAAATTTCAGTGAAAGCATTTTAGACAGGATCTTTGTTTTGCTTGAAACAAACAAGTGCCAGTGCAGTAAGTGATTTTCACTTGATAAGATTTTGCTACCATGGCGACATGTCAATCAGGCTAGAGAATCCCTTATCGACTGCATTGTGTAAAAGTTAACCAGCGCTGTTGATTAGGAGTCGGCTGTTCATTTTCCCAGTAAGTACGTTTTGTTTTAAGCCAGTTTTTAGTTAGCAGTTAATTAGCATCCAGGTTAAAATCACAGTTAATGTGAATTACAGCTGCAGCTAGCAAACAAACTAGCAAGCGCCACCATTTTGTCCAAATTAGGTCAAGTCCGGTGCTGCTGGTTGCAAAAAACGACATGGCGGCCATACTCGAGGCTGGCAGTCCAGAAAGCAATGGCATCGTGACGTCACCCACTAGGTCCACTTCTTATACGGACTATGTGGTAACCAAACACCTATAGTCCTTACCACATCTGAGCTGCTGTTCACGCAGGTTGCAAAACTCCAGTCCGTGGAGGTGGGTAGGGAACACACACACTGTGTCGTTGCCAATCCTCACAGAGTTGCTTCGAGCCCAGAGGAGCAGCCACTTAAGCTGACAGTCACAGAACAAAGTCTCGGTGCTGAAGTGCCTGGAGGGAATACCAGCAAAGAGTTACAACCTGTGTGCTTGTGATTGTATTACTGGATTTGAGCAACCAGACTTTATTCATCCAATAGGTGACAATCTGATGTCATAACAGGAAAAAACACAGGTGTAATTGATAAAATGACATGGTTTACTGGCCCACGTACATGAAACAGAGCCATCGTTAACATTAGTTACCCATGTGCTTTTCATGCTATAATAAGTCAAAATGTTGGCAAGGAATACGGTTATCCTTGCCTCTGTATCTTGAACAAAAACAAATGAGGTTGAAATACATTTTTAACCATATCTTAGATAACTGAATGCATTTATGTGCATGATATGCATCTGTGTTTGCCTTACAGCACTCTGAGAGCCACGAGGTGTGTAAAGAGTCCCACGGTCAGCGTGGAGAAGATGTTCCCCGATAAATTCCTGTTTGTCGAAAATAGAAAACAGGTCACTCATCACATGCACTAAAGCCAGACTACTGCATTATGTTATACATTACTAAATCCATATCAAACACCATACTCTGCACAGCCTGCAACACATGTTTTCTATTTAGGGATTACTCACAATTTTGAGAGGTTGCCCAGATTAAGAAACATTTCAGGGGAGAGACAGCCAATCCTGTTGTTGGACAGGTCCCTATAAGGACAAAAAAGGTAAAGATAACAATTTTACTGATATAGTAGTCAGACCAAGAGACAAAACTTAAAATAGGAATCAGCTACAAAACTGCATCTGTGTTAGTATCTTGCCTTCTTAAAACACAGAGAATTTAACAGCTGTGAATGCTGTGTTTGTAAACTTGTGCCATTTTCATCTACTCAACTTCCTGGAATATCTGTCGTGACCTTTCGTGACCTTTCACTCCTCCTAACCATTGCTGGCACACACTCCCCCACATAAACACACACACAACTGCAGCGGCCTTCCAAGTGGCTGAACGCTGTCGCGTCCGTGGCTCGGTGCCCTCGTACTCTGTAATTAAAGAGCTGCTTTGCTGGAGCAGCTGTGGGAAAATAAGCAGAGCACTCGAGTAATCACCAGTTGGGGAGCACTTAAATTAGCACTCTGCTGCTCCCCGAGCTTGGCGCACACGCGCCCCGAATCAGCATGGTTAACTCAGTGCTTGCATCTCTGCCAACCCAGATCCCACTAACTATCAGGCTGCAATCATGTCACTCACTCTGAAGCCTAAATGTAGAAAGCCAGGATGAGAGTAATCGTCGAGAAAATTACTCAAGTAGAAGAGTTCAGACCAAAAACTAACTAAAAAACTAAAAAAAAATACTACAGCCAGAATAAGATATTTTAAGTTTTTAATCCTACTTTGTATATTGTTAATAAAAAAACAGAGGAAATAAAAAGACTTTGTTCTAATTTATGTGTTAAAATTTTACGATACCAGTACCAAACCCAGTACCCTTAAAGTGATACCGATATCAAGTGAGTTGGTACTTTTTTTTTTATACCTTGCATAAAATGTCACCTGTTGACATGTCACCTGATTAGTAGCTTATTATTATTTTTATTGTTGTTATGGAGAAGCAAGGTTTTGTATTTTATTTTTTTTCTTGTTTCAAATAACTGCTACATAAAAAGTATTATAAGAAATTGTATCACATCGCTCCCCATCCTATTTAGATCATTGTCATTGGTAGTATTAGCCTACAAGGGGAAAGACTACAGCTTGGGAGTTATTTTATATTTGAAAGAGAAAGGAGTGAAATAGTTTAGTGACCAAATAAGCTGTGGGAAACAAATTTAAGGTGTGTTTTGATACTTGTGTTGAAAGTAAACAATGGAAAATGATTTTATTAACTTTCAATCAATAAACTGAATTGAAAGATCTGCGTGAGCGCTTTTTCCTTTAGTGGTGAGCCGCAAACCTCCGTAAATACGACAGTCACAAGAATAAAACAAGAAAGCAATTTGTTTAAACAAGTCATTAAACTACACTAAAGATACAAGCAGAGGAGTAGAGAGGCTGCAGTCCAGCCAATCAAAACAACTACATATGAAGCAGCCGCAGCTGCAGCCGGAGGCCCCGTGAGTAAAATCAGCTGACTGCTGCTGTGCCACGAAAGCCTTTAATTGATGTGATAGAACGCAGTGAACGATCAGTGACAAGTGATATGAAGAGCAAATAAAAATGTAAAGAGAAATGTTAACTGATACCAGAAGATAAAACCAAAGGGAAAGCCAAGCTTGTGGTGATAAACTTGCAACAGTGACGAACATACCTGAGACGCAGCCGAAGGTGAGCGGCTGTTAAAATCATGCTTGGACTCCACACATGCAGGCCTTTTTTATACAGTTCATGGTGCAGGCACATAAGGCGAAAAAAGGCATGCTCTTCTCTTTCTTTAGGTGGGTTATTTGCCTATTTGGCTACAAGCAAAACCATACAAATAGTATTTTTTTGCCACGATCTGGTTACATAAAGTAGGCCTAGGTATCGACTGAAGTACTGGTTTGACTGGAGACGTTTCGGTTCTACTCGATACCGGACTGTTTCGGTCGGTACCATAAAGGTACCGAGAAGCAATACCCATCCCTAGTTGCAAACTAAAACTGCAATTGTCATATTCTTAACATTGGAGCCTTTTGGATATTTTCATTCTAAAACGGAAATTCTGCTTAATTCAATACACTTTGTGGTTTTGCCATTACAGTCTCACTTGGTAGTTAATGGTAGCTGGGAGATTCTCAATGAACCGCTACAACCTGCAAGGTGAGGGTCACCTAACAGATGGAGACAGCAGAAGGCGTCAGTACTACTAGTCTATTTATACTGTAGACGAAGGTATAATGCACAACACAACTGTCTCTGAAAAAACTTTCAACTCAACAAAACTTAAAATTATTTATTTTTATTATTCATCCTGCTGCCTCCCTTTACCTTTGACCTCTCTTGAGTTTGAACAAATTGTGATTCAAACAACACGAGATTTTCACATTTCTAGACAATAATAAGTAAAGATTTGTAGCAAGCCTCATTTCTATGCTAAATATGATTAGACTGACGGACCACATTAAATGATCAATAAAAGTTAGTTTTTAGCTTCTGTATTACAGTTGTTTTATCACTGAAGCTCTTTAAGAAGAAAAAATTTTTGATGATGATGATGATGAAGGGGGCACAGCTCAGTGCCACTAGAATAAATAGAACATCCTTTTCTATAATCACTTATATAACAGCAGCATCAAACCCATAGGAAAACGTGAAATGCCCCAAATCCTGCAGACTGTGTTCACACCGGGCAGCTCCCACTTGTGAATGTGCCTGTTAATACGAAAGACAGCGTTGCCTGGACAAAGAAGATGCCGAAAAACTGGGAATAGTTTCAGCACCTTTGCCTACGTTAAACGTTTCAGTCCTCTCTTCACTCTGTTCTTTAGACACCCCTTCTCATTGTCTCTAAAGCCAGAGGATTTGCCCCCATGTCTATTATAAGGCTTCATCATACTTACAGTCTCCTCAGGGCTAGCAGACCACGGAAGGCCCCGGGCTCCACTGTACTTATCAAATTATTCTTCAGGTCCCTGGAGAAGAGAGATAAAAAGAGTCAAGTTAAACCAGGAATTATTTATCTATCAATCTATCTATCTATAATATATTATTAGAACTGGCTGATACTGTGGCCATTCATTAGTAAGTCAACTTGCACCTGTTAGCTGGACAGCACAGACCATTTCCTGCATGCTTAAGACCCAGACGACATCCAGCCAAGAGGCAAAAACACACATTTTGCGGTTTCAACCAGGCACTCCTTAACCACCCCCACCCCAAAACCTCTGACGCTACTAAAAATGGATCTCAGAAAAATCTTCTCTCTGGGTTTCTCTGCATGCCAAAGAAAACTTCCTGAAATTGTGTCCCTGGTTTCCTTTAACTTTGTACTGTATGTCCAGTGTGATGAGAATGAGAAGAAGGGTAGTGCCTTTTTCCAAATGTGAGCAACAATGTAGCTCAGCCCAAAAGTTCTTTATTTTTAATTTAACAGTCACACAGGCCAGACCAGGGCCAGCCAAAAGAAACAAAACAAAACCAATGGGACAATCAAAGATACAGCTATTGTTCCAAAGTGAAAATAAAAGTCATTTTTATTTGACAAATGGGACAGTTTGACAACAAAATGTTCCCTTTTGCCTAATCATTGGAAGCATGGATGTCTACATCATTACTACTAGATGAAAAGCTGAGGTTTTACAGAAACTGATGCTAATTCAGTACATGTAAAGCATTAGTTACACATACAGAAGACAAGCCATTAGAGGCAGAAAAATGACTACTATCTACGGTTAATGATCCGTGTCTTGTGTTAAATTGTTCAGTCCGTGGTTAAAACACTCATTGTCTGCACCATTAGCACTCCCCAACAGCTCTCCAACCATGCTGTGGCCAGACCAAAAGTCCTGTGGTAAAAAAACACATAAATGCGTAACAGGCAAGCACCACCTTTATAAGTTTGTTTTTTTTATCTAAGAAGGTGTCAAGTGCCTTTTTTGCTAATCTGGCGTTTGAGTGAATCTGTGTGCTTTGTTTGACCTCAGCACCTGAATATAACTGCTTTCTATTTCTGGTGACTTTTCACAATCAGAATTACTAATGAGGCTTTTCTGCAGACATCCCCCAGTCTTCCTCATTCACACAGAAAGGTATAGCGGGGCTGAGGAAGTTGAAATTGCCTTCCTGACAGACTAGCCTCTTGGTCCAGTCAGGTCGGCCAACGGCTAGCTCTCATCTCCGCTCTCATCCAAAGTTGCCTTTGATCATGTACAATATGCTACAAAAGAGCGGGTGGAGGGTGGAGGTCAAAAGGTCATCCGTTGTGCTTGGAGCACCTCCTTTTATCCTGGACCGTCTTGTAGCTCAGTGCTCTGCCGTCTCTGAATTTGCTGAATGTTCAGAACGTTCCACGTTATCAAATGTCTGCCTTACCCAGGAGCAGAGGTCACTGCTCTGTGAGTCTCCATACAGGAAATGTACTACTGTACCAATAAATATCCAAGTCCAATTCTATAATGTACGTAAAACAACCATGAGCAGAGTCGATCATATGGGACACCTTTATAAGAACTCAAATTGAAAGATCCCCTAAATCTAAACCAAGAAAATCAATAAACAAAATATTTAAGTTGAAATTTCAGTTTTTAAATAGCAATTCTAAAACTTAAGATGAGGTTCCCTGGGTAGTATTATATATTAATTTCATTATATATAATTGTGAACATGATTTTTCTCATTATGTTGCCATTCTGTTATCCACAGAAATGTTATATGTCAACAGAAATAATAAGTGTCATGTAGCCTTGTTTGTTTTACTAGCTTCCTGTATTAGGTCATTTTTAAAGCCACATAAAACAAGCGATGGCATCACGAACAAAACCTTTTATAATCATCAGACCTGAGCCAACAAGTGTCTGCAAATAAATGTTATAAATCACAGTTGTGTGTTATAAACTGCTGAGGTTCCAGACGGGTGGGATCTGTTACATAATGCAACAGAATGGGTTCCAGAAAGTTGCAAAACAATCAGAGGAAACTATCTGAAAGTCGATTTAGCACCCTTTTCTCTGATTAACTGTCTGGCATGAACTGTAATGTCCTGACAGTAAGCTTCATCCTGTTTGGAATACCAGACGTGTCGAGCTTACTGACAAACTGTAAGAATCATTAGCGGTGCATATAATTATTGTGAAGTTTGTGTTGAAATCCAGCTCTGAAGTGCACCAGAGGCCTCACACTGTCACTATGTAGCCAAATGTTTGCTCTTGTTTTTTGTGAACCCTGGACAGAATGGTACCCTTGGTACAACACCGCCTTTTCATTTAGGAAGGAGCAGCACTCATGGTCATGAATTCTGTTTCCTATGTCCTCCTCCTCTCTATGCATACACACAAACAAGGGCACTGGCATGAACTCCCAACTGGTCCGGCCATGTTTCTTTTCAGTCACTGAGTCAATGCATCACGCATCAGTTAGCTTTACACCCATTCACATGTATTTTCATCTTTCCTGTTCAGGGTCACAAGGAGCTGCAGCCTATCCCAGAAGATACTAAGTGAGATTACATCTGGACAGATCACCAGTCTAACACACAGATGAGCACACTGAGAATTTACCTAACCTGCTTGTCTTTGGACTGTGAGAGGAACAGCAAACTCCTCACAGAAAATTCAGGTGGTGGACTGATTCAAACCTGTTGTGTTAAACTGTTTCTGATAAATAAAAGAAAAAAAGAAAGAGAAGAAATGTACCAACAGAGTCAGCATCCATAGGCTACTTGTACTTTAAAAACTCACATTGTAGTGTGCAGCAGGAAACAGTACTTTAAGATGTTTTTGTGTGTGGATCCATATGTTTGCAACCCACATGAGATCCTCACATGCAGAACTCATGGTCCACCTTTGGAGTGTGGACCAGTTGGAAACTAGTTAGAAAACACTGACTTGAGTTGACATACAGCTTCACCTGTCCATCAAGACAAAAATTTATAGTAGGGGCGTGCATAAAAACACACTATGACACAGGTTGTAGATGCACACATGCTCACAAGCCTCCCAATACATTCTCAGATAATATCCAGCACCCACAGTATTTCCATTTCCGCACAGCAATGCCCCACTCACCACTTTGTTAGTCTGAGTTTGTCTTTATAACAGAAATGCGGTACTCTTCTAGATCTGAGTATTTACTTGTACTTTTACAGGTTGCTGTAAACAAAACTACACTTTTAATGTAAAACAGATTGAACACCTAACGGGCTTCCATACTCAGCAACAAAGCTAACACTAGCTGAGCTAGCACTGCAGTTACCTCCCAAAACATAGCATTAGGTGACAAAAATACTTAAACGCCACAAAAACGCAGCTAGTTTGCAATACAAGTGAAGAGAAACATTTTGTTTTTGAGTGGCATCTAGCTTGCCTCTTGGCTACCCAGAGGCAGAGACTAGAAATCCATGCTAAAGTAGCCTGTAGTTCTTCCATGCCTCCAACTACGTCACTATCATGTCAAATGACAGCGCTGAATACAGGAAGAACAACTTGAAATGTATTGCTTCAATTGACTGAATTTACCATCAACACTGTGGAGCAATTTAGAACAGAGGGAGTCTTCTAAATACAGGATATTAAATATACTTAAAACAGGGGAAATGAAATATAAGTACTGGCTCTGATAATAGCATGCCTCAAATAAAAGCCTGCCTCTCTCTTCAGTTGAGGTAAACAAAGCCCTGGCCACTATTTGAAAATTTATGGTACACACACACACACACACACACACACACAGAAACACACACACAAACAAATGATAACTATCTTTGGGGAGACTTGCCCCACATATCCACTGTAGATACAGCTGTAGCAGCTCAAATGAGATGAATGTTTAAACAATAACCATTTTCTACTCCCCCGCCCTTGCATGTTTGAAGAGCAGGAGCAGCCCTCAGTATAACCTCCAACATTTGTGGTTAATGTTTGAAAAGCTACTGAAGTCCTTCCCAATTGATTTAAACTGCACTGTATATCTTAGCCTACTCAATTTTCCCTGAGCCATGTGACCCCAGGGATATCTGCCTGCTCACTATGTGACACTAATGGGCAGATTCCTGCCTGAATCTAGAAGATTACCACATCACACAGTCGCACTGACATGGAGGTGTGCACACACACTGAGTATAAATGCACACACTAACATTGACCAGACCACACGCATGCTCCAGGCACAGCCTCTAGACAGAGCAGTGCTTTCTCTTTGATGGCAAACAGTATTTATTCATGCAGAGTCTCATTAACTAGATCTCAGCGTTGATGTAATTATCAAAATACCATCAGATTCACAAAAGGTCAAATTCTACATGAAGAACATAAGCAAATAAAAGTGAAGCTTGCTGCGGCCACTTGGGCACTCATCCAAATGGAAAATGATGCTGCATGATGTATTCGATTGTATGCACACTTAATGAAATGAGAAGATGACATACATTCATTAATATAACTTCAATTTCAATTTTCTCAGTGGCATGTTGGTGTCCAGAGCAGAATGTGAGTAGGTAAAGGCACCTTCTTTCCAGTCAGAGGGCTAACAATTGGGTCAGAGCAGTGAAGACGTACACAGATACGCCCAAATAAATACACATACACACTCAAACAAACCACATCCATTTTTTAACACATTTTAGATGATCAAATATACTACACAGTGGAGAGTTAAAACAAAATTTTTCACCAATTTTGATAATTGATCAATTGTTTTAGCTGTTTCATCCAGCAGAAATGCAGAACATTTGCTGGTCGGTTTCAGTCTCCCACCAGACTGAAATATCTCAATAACTATTGAATAGATTACAATGGAATTGTATAAATGTGCAGACATTCATGTTTAACAGCAGATGAAACCTACTTACTTTGGTGAGTCCCTGATTTTTCATTTAGTGAAGTGAGTCACCAGCATGGTAGTGGTTGGGGAACTCTCATTCCTGATTCCTGTGAAGTGTTGCGCATTTGGGCCTATATCCTGTTAGTCACCTAGCAAA